GCGAGGAAAAAGAAAGGTCAAATCACCGACACGGAATCCGCGATAAACAAGCCCGCTTGCATAGGCGCGAGCGAGGGCGAAGAAGCATCTACCAGCCCGACAGGCAAGGCACTGAGCAGACTACGGGGGAAAGAGAAATGCAGCAGCAACAGAGTGTGTTTGTGGTTGCTGAAAAAACGATAAAATTGAAGTTGGAGGAGTCAAAAGTCGACTAGCGCACTTTTTCGATTATTCATCAGGAGGCCAGTAGGACGGTGAAATATGGAAAAAAACGAAGCTTGAAATTGTCCTTTGAGCAGTTTTTTGCCTGAGAAACATCACGGAGGCAGTTTTAATCGGGGAATAATTGGATCTAAGGAAGATTTAGAAATATTCCGGTTATATGTTTCTTTATAGAGTCGGTTAGGGTCGATAAGAAGGCATACAAGGCGACGGGAAAGAAATTCGACCTCAGCGAACCATAAACTCAGGCGGCTTATGGTTTTAAAACTTACCGTCACAGACTGTCCTGATCCAGTCGTTGAGATATGAACGCCAATGGTTGGTGATTGACGAAATGTTATGTGTAATGCAGGGTTGTTTTGCTGACAACACAGTTAGCCCCCAATAAGTGGGTGCGCTTGACAGCCGAGTTTCGAGCAGAACTCGGACGACAAATTGTAAGGCTGCGCTAGGGCTTTTCTGAATAGAGAATTAATTGTAAAGGCCCATTATTGGGTTTTATAAGGCTCAACTGTCTTCAGTAGAAGCGTTTACATCATATAAGGCTTAGACCCGAGCAGGATGGGAGCCACATTCAGAAGGAACCATTGCAGCCTGACTCTTCGTTCTGGGAGGAGGACCCAGTCATCCGGTCAGTTGGCAGTCTTACAAGCCATGCTTTTTTTAGCCCACCTTAGTAGTTTAAAAGGGTGTCAGGCTGTTTTTAGTAAGGCGCTGAGTAAGGCCCGGGGAGTAGAGGCGTTGACTTCTAAACCAACAGGTCGCGAGTTCGAGGCTCGGGTGTTCCACACTTCGGGGTTGGGTAGGGCTGGCTGACGACGGCTAATAAGCCAGAAATGGCCACTCCAGTCTCCTTTGTCTTTGTCGGTAATAACATACTGCCTATAAATAAAACAACGTAATTAGAGCAAATCACCCTACACCAACCGCTGGCACTGTCTGTATTCACAACCCCTATAAGAGGATTAAGCTAGACTAGCAGCAGCATCGAGTTCCAAACCATCAGTTTAGGGTAGATATGGTCGGGTGAAGGAAAACTTATATAATGCATCTACCTGGATTTTCGTTAATTGATCCACCATGACTATATTATGGTCGATCTGCTTGCGTCCAGCTAGGTGGAGGCGTGGTAATGACCCCTTACGAGGATCGGGGCACATACGGCGCACATATACCCATGTGACTAACGGCTTGTTCACTGCAGAGCCGCTGGATACGGGCCTATCCCGCATCCCCCCCCCCCTCCCCCGTACTCTTCCTCCTTTTCTTCTGTTATTTGCTTATAGGAGTGCAGACCCTACTTGTCGAGCGCAGCCACAGCACTCGACTGGGAGGTTTTTGGGTGGAGCTGTACTCTTACCGACTGTGACGTCGCATGAAACAGTACTTCACAGTTTTAGGCCGCACGCGGTAGCCTGGGCTCAGCTGGCGCCCCGGAGGCACGTGACGCACATGTGTATCCGAAAGCAAATATACTTTCGGCAAGGCGCAGGTAGTGGATATGTAGCTGACGCATTTTCTAGGGCCATCATGCTTAACTGCTGCCTTACGAAGTTCGTTTGATCGTTCTCGCATGTGCACGGTGCCCTTGACAGATCGATTGGGGTTCTGTCTCAGCTTCCAGATGGACGTGGCATCAAAGGGAAGAGTAAATGAATACGATCACGCGAACTGGCGCAAGTCGTTCGACGCAAACAGCATTGGTACTTTGTCTCAGTCGGAAGAAACGAAGATTTGCTTTGCCAATAGAAGCGAAGAAACGAGTCCCAGGATGCAGTCTTAAAGGAGGAGACACGATCGCTGGGACAAGAGCGTCAGTTAATGAAACCGAAAGACTCATTGCCACGGCAAGAAACGTCTGGAGTCGTTTCTCAGATCAGGTGCAGTTGCAGACAAGGCAACTACGTTGGAGAAACCGGAAAACAGCTCCGAACGAGAATGGCCGAACACACTGCAGCGGTGCGGAGAAATGACGCTAGCTCTCAAGTTGCGGCTCATTCGACGGGATCCGGCCACGCATT